CATTTTGACCTTTTTTCCTGCCTTTTTTTTTCCATTTCTGAGTGTCACTTTTTTCTTTTGTACCTTTAAGTGAAATGAATATTTATAGTGCTGATTCTTATAAAAGATCATGTTTGATTTGTTTGTATTGCTGGACATCTTTGCTTTTGAGAATCCCTAGGGGTTTTAGTAGTTGAATCTATAATTTATTCTCTTTGATTATGTTTTTGCCTTATACTTCTATATAGCTTAAAATTTTTAAGTAGTATTGTTTCTTCAAATGCTTTTATGTATTTATTTAATAAATAGTTTCATCTACCTGAGTTTTACTAGTTACGAAGTTATTTTATCCTTTGTGTATATAGACTGGAAAATTTTTTTTAAACTGTGATTTAGGTCCTGGCCATGGGCATTGCTCAGTGGTTAGAACATTGGCCCATGCACCGAAGGGTTTGAGGTTCAATTCCTGGTCTCAAGGGCACGTACCCGGATTGCAGCTTTGCCAATTGATGTGTCTCTCTCACATCAATGTCTCTCTCTCTTCCTCTCTCTCTTCCACCTATCCCCCTTTCACTCTCTCTGAAAAAACCAGTGGAAAAAATATCCTCGTATGAGGATTAACAAAAAAACAGTGATTTAGGGTCTTTGTGACTTTCTTGCTCCTTGTCCCATTAAGCCATTTAATTGATAATTGAATTCTGCATTAGACTTTCTTCTCCTATTTCAGAGCTTTTACAAAAAGAAATCTGTAAACTTTTTAATCACAAATATTGATGATTTTTCACTCATTTCAGTGCTGCAAGGTGATTTTTTTTATTCATTAAAGTTTCTTTTCTTTTTTTTCTTTATTCATTAAGGTATTACATATGTGTCCTTATGCCCCGATTGTGCCCCCCCTCAGCTCCCCCGCCCCCCCCGTTCATGCCTTCATTCCCTGGTGTCTGTGTCCATTGGTTAGACTTATATGCATGCATACAGGTCCTTTGGTTGATCTTTCCCCCTTACCCCCACGGCCCCCTACCTTTCCTCTGAGGTTTGATGGTCTGATCGATGCTTCTCTGACTCTGAATCTGTTTTTGTTCATCAGTTTATGTTGTTCATTATATTCCACAAATGAGTGAGATCATGTGATATTTATCTTTCTCTGACTGGCTTATTTCACTTAGCATAATGCTCTCCAGTTCTATCCATGCTATTGCAAATGGTAAGATTTCCTTCTTTTTTACCGCAGTGTAGTATTCCATTGTGTAGATGTACCACAGTTTTTAATCCACTCATCTGCTGATGGGCACTTAGGCTGTTTCCAAATCTTAGCTATTGTAAATTGTGCTGCTATGAACATAACGGTACATATATCATTTCTGATTGGTGTTTCTGTTTTCTTGGAATACATTCCTAGAAGTGGGATTACTGGTTTTTCTACTTCTTCAATTGCCAGTGATCATTTCTTTCACACCATTAGCAATATTAGCACTCTTGATGGCCTCTTTATGTTTTAAAATTGTGCTAATCACCCATTTCACTAGCAACAGAAGCAAATAAGACAACACAAAAAAACAAAACCCCAAAAACCAAAATCCACAAAAATATTCATAGCATTATTTCCTGAGATGTTAGTGCTAAACTGACTCATACTTGTGCATTCTCTCCTTTGTAGCCTGAGAGAAGCTTTTCAACAACCAAGACACCCCCATCTCTCACCCCTTGAACAACTTGGTTGAGAACCAAATTGTTTAAGATGGGAGCCACTCAAAAACCCAGGTTTGACTAATGTTAGTCTAATGGCTAAGTTGTTAAGCTCTACAATATAAATAAAAATAGAGAAATATTATAAAAAGAATATGGTTTTAGCATCATTTAAAAAGTAAACACCAATAGTTGGCTAGGCAGTTATCCAATAGGGAATTATTAGGTCATCTATGATTAATGTAGCTTATGAAGATATGCCAAATTAGTTATAATATATTTAGTAATCTGAATTCAGAAAAATTAGAACTTCTGCTTTTTGGTAAATAGCATAATGGTTATGAACCTGGGCTTAGGTTTTAATTCCTGCTTCCCTATTTATTTGTGTGTTGGGTACACATTATTTGACCCCTTTGAGACTCAGTTTCCTGCTTGCAAAAGTGGAGAGAATATTGACTTCCTCACAGGATCTATTAAATGAAATGATAACCTTAATCAATGAGGAAATTAAAAAAAAAATAAATGAAATTATAAATGCTTATTAGTAGTGTCCAGGCACATGTTAAGGTGATTAATATTATTATATCATTAATTAGTCTTAACATAATTTTTATGGAATCATAATTTGTTTTATTAATAATTACTTTATTTCAGCTTCTCTCTGGATTGCTAGGTTTTAATTGCATATTATATATATTTGATATATTTGCTTTCATCTCTTCTGAGCTTTTTGAGAGTTTGTCTGTAACTTCTATCATAGTAAAACAGTATTATGGCTATCCATCACCCATTTTGGGGATTATACAGAGAACTTCTAGGTCAAAAATAAAAAAGGGATAAACCATGATCAAAAGGCTTAAATAGGCCTTATCTTATAAAATGACCCAAATGCTTATTTTTTTTCTCTTTGAAAGCGGTACTAAACCACTGTGCCCAGTTTAGGGAATTCTATAGCTGATTATAAAGTTTTATGTAATATTTCTATTATATTACATAGATTATATGGATTTTAGAATTTCTCTTGGGATAGAAGTAAATTCAAAGAGCAAGATGTGAATAGTAGATTTTAAAATATTTTTATCAAAACCTTTGTAATAATAATAGTCCATTAAATCATCAATCTTCTTTGTCAAGTCATGATCACCAGGCAACAATATTCAACTCTTTCACCTTTTCTTACGATATCTATTTCCAAAGAACATGCTTCCTCTGGTCTTTCTCAATTCATGACTTTTAAATATCTCTGGATCAATTCTTGTTATGGTGCATGCGGGTTTAGCTCATTTAAATCCTCTCCCCATGCCCTCTTTTCCCCATTTTCTAAAATTAATTATATCACAGATTTTGCTTAGACAATATTAGTTGTATATATAGTTGGGTAAATATTGTTTATTGCTGAGTCAAGTAGTGAACTATAACAATATTTTCTACCTAAGGGACTATTTTTCTTAAAATTGACTTTGCTCAATTTTCTTTTTATTAATCAGTAATTCTTCCTATATACTTCTACAAAAATATGAGCTGAGAGGTATCTCAGGACTGTTTTCTACAAAGACAGATTCATTAGATAATACCAGTTTTATTCTTCTTCTCTAAACCTGGAAATTGCTTATTCTCTCCTGTGTTTGATCTCCAGTACTCTGGATTCCACATCTTACTACATTTTAGTGTAGTCCCTTGTTTTGGAGGAGAATATGCTCCAGTAGGTTCTTGAGAAAGGTACATTGGAGGTAATTTTTTTTGAAATCTTACTAGTATATAGGTGAACATATTTTGTGTGTGTTTTAATTTAAAATTGTGTATTTGAATGATAGTGTGGCTAGCTAAAGAATTCTGTGTTGGAAGTCATTTAACTTGCAATTTTCAAGGCATTTTATCTTTTAGATTCCAGTGTTGCTGTTAATGCCAGTCTGATTTCTCATTATCTCTGGAATCAAATTTCCTCAGTATTGTGAAATTTCACTTTGATGGAACCTTTTGAAAGCCTTTTAATTTATTAGACTGGGTACTTGGTGAGCCTTCTTTGTGTGTTTCTTTTGATTGATTTTAGAGAGAGAGGAAGGGAGAGGAAGAGAGAAACATTGATGTGAGATAGACACATTGATTGATTGCCTCCTGCATGCACCCCAACCAGGCAGGGATGGAACCTACAACTCAGGTACGTGTCCTTGACCGGGAATTGAAGCCGAGACCCTTTGGTGTGCAGGCTCTAAACACTGAACACACCGGCCAGAGCTATAGTCTTACTATTTTACTATCATTGCACTAGGTTTTAGAGCAGCACGAAAGATGAACATGTGTGTTCAACCCAGAAGTAATACTATACAGCCTAATTCCAAAAACTTTCAAGTTTTTTGTGCATTTTTTTTTTTTTTTTTTTGCAGGAGAAATTCAAATGAGGATCATAGGAATATAACCAGACTCTTTTTTAAGGTTTTCAGGCGAGCCTTGCCCAATCCCTAATCAAAAGATATGTATTCTTAAGATTTTATATTAGCTTACTTTTTGTTAATATTAGTCAGATGATTGCACAAGAAAAGCTTAGAGGACAGAGTACATTTGAATGGTGATCAGAAAAACTGAGTCAGTATTGGCTGCTGTTAACAACAAAAAACTTGGCTTTTTAACATTTTGTACTTTACCAGTTATGCTCTTTGACTTTGAGAGATTTATAGCTCTGGTACCTATTTTTTAAAATATGTTTTTATTGATTTTTAGAGAGAGAGGAAGAAAGAGAGAGAGGGAGATAGAAATATCAATGAGAGCAAAACATCTATTGGCTGCCTCCTGCATGCCCCTATTGGGGATCAAGCCCGCAACCCAGGCATGTGCCCTGACCAGGAATCGAACTGGTGACCTCTTGGTGCGGGGGTCGATGCTCAACCACTGAGCCAAACCGGCTGGGCTGGTACCTATGTTTTTCTTTTTAGAGGCAAAAAAAACATGTTTTTTAAATTCAAATATTTAGAGCAGCACTATTCAATTTACTAGCCATATATGGCTGTTTAAAATAAAATTAAAATTTAGTTCCTCAGTTATATTAGCCAATTTAAAGTCCTTGGTAGCTACATGTGTCAGTTGTTTAGAGCTTTCCCAGGTTAGCACAGTTTAGATTGCATTGACAATTCCACATATATTGTATAGTGCCTGAGAGACCCAGAGAGCTTATCAAAAATTGAATTTGTTCAGCCATCGTAATTGTCATGTTCCTACTCATTCTTTAAAGCTTCAAGTTGTGGCAAGAACTTTTCTTATATGGATTGAAATTGTGATAATTGTGTCTTTGTTTGACTTTTCTGATCTACTTTTAATTGTTTTGTTTTTTTCCTCCCTAGACAGTGCAATGCTTGCTAGACAGTGGTGCTGATATTAACAGGCCAAATGTATCAGGAGCCACTCCATTGTACTTCGCTTGCAGGTATGAGATTTTATATTTCCAGATACTGTCATTAAAGAATGTCGTGTATTTACTATATTTCCAAACACAAACATTTCTGTATATTTTCTAAGGCTCTCTTGTTTTTTTCATTAATACTATGATGTCTTTTAAGATGAAGTATATAGCATTATGGTTGTTACTTAACCGCATGAGGAAAAATATTTTCTGTTATATTGCCAGTGTTTTTATATGGTGTAAGTGCAGCTTTTGATATCTTTGATTATTCAATTTTATATTAATTACTTATTAACTAATGAGAAAAGACATAATCCACTAATTTTCCTAGTTGTCTTTATTAAGTTCCAGGTCAATTCCAATGGGATAAGCTATTAAAGTATGTCTTGGTCCACAGTTCTGTATTTGCTTTCTCTGGATTTGTAAATTAAAAAAAATTTCTTTTGAATCATTATTGTTAGATATTAAATTCTGCATTAAGTTATTTTTGTACTATGTCTTGGTTCATTTTCTTAAAGCACTTATTTTGTTCATTGATTCATTTATATAATTAGCAAACATTTAGTTAGCACTCGCTATTTGCCATCCATTATTATAGCATTAGTGATACAGTAATAAATATACCTCAGTCCTTATGGAGGTTGCAATATAATAATTATACACATACACCTTCCCCCACATGCACACACACACACACATACACACACACACACACAAACACACGCACGCACACAATGTTATATTAATGTAGTTAGCAGTTAGGAACAGTTCACAATACACTAGTGATTCTTCCCTTTGGTTTAGATTATATGAATTATAATATTTATTTAGGCTCTTAAATTCAAATATAGAGCTCTCCAAAAAGCTCTTCTTTTCTTTATTTTTTGTTTTTGTTTTATAACATTTTATTGGAGATTTATTTTAGACTGAAAGACCTGCTTTTCTTCTTGTTTAGCTTCTCTTTAGGATTTCTGATGTTACTTTGATCAGACTGATTCAAATCATCATCGCACAACTTTGAATTATAATACAAGGACTTTGGATCTCTAGACTAGATCTTATCTGAATTTAGTTATTTTCTAAAATTATACTTAAGAAAACCAGTTACTTCCATAGTATCTTGAGTTTATGAATAATATCATTGTTTGATTCCGTGAAATCATATTCTATATTGAAAGGTTGTTTCTAGATAAGACCTCTCTTTGAAGGTTCAGATTTGAAATGTCCACTTGCCTGATTTACACCATCATTTGAAAGTTTCATAAAATGTCAAATGTCACCATGTCCAAAATACAGGTTTCTGATTTTCCTTTTCAAACCTCCTCCAGTTTTTCTAATCTCAGTCATCGGAACCCATATCCTTTCAGTTTAAACCAGAAACTAGGTCATTGTTTTTTTGTTTTTTGGTTTTTTTAAAATATATTTTATTGATTTTTTACAGAGAGGAAGGGAGAGGGATAGAGAGTTAGAAACATTGATGAGAGAGAAACATCAATCAGCTGCCTCCTGCACACTCCCCACTGGGGATGTGCCCGCAACCAAGGTACATGCCCTTGACCAGAATCGAACCCGGGACCTTTTAGTCCGCAGGCTGACGCTCCATCCACTGAGCCAAACCAGTCAGGGCAGGTCATTGTTTTTTATATCTTTCTTTCTCTGACCCTCCACTTGGAATTAGTCAGTTCTATAAATTCCACCTTCAGAATATATTCTGAATCTCTTTATTCCAACTCACTGAAACCACTTTGGTTAGAGTTGTTACCTCTTATCTAGAGTACTGCAGTAGTCTCATAAGTGGTTTTTCTGATTCTTCTTTCTCTTCCACTGTTCTTTCCTCAGTTGCCAAAGTGACCTTTAAAAAATGAATTAGTCTTGTCACTTTGTGTTTAAACCCTGTATTTAAAACTTTTCAGTGCTTCTTTGTTATATTTCAAATAAAATCTAATCTGCATTCACCCGTGAGACCTGCGTGGTCTGACCCCTACTTGGCTCACTCTGCTTTGGTTGCATTGGTTATCTTTGAGTTCCCCAAACACAGCTGACTCTTTCCAGCAGGCTATTCTACATGCTATTTGTTTTGCCTGAAAAGGTCTTCCCTAGGCTTCTTTTTTTCCTTTTTAAAATATATTTTTATTGATTTCAGAGAGGAAGGAAGAGGGAGAGATAGAAACATCAATGATGAGAGAGACTCATTGATCGGCTGCCTCCTGCACACCCCCCCACTGGGGATCGAGCCTGCAACTGGGCATGTGCCCTTGACCGGAATCGAATCTGGGACCCTTGAGTCCACAGGCTGACACTCTATCTTCCGAGCCAAACCAGCTGGGGCTCCTAGGCTTCCTATATGGCTGACTCCTTCATGTCACTGCTTAACTGTTACTTTGTAGAAAGGCAATTCCTCACCAATCCAAGTAAGCCTCTCCCCAAATTTTCTATCATATATATGGCGTATTTGCTTGTTTACAGTGTGTCTCCCCTACTAGACCGAAAGCTCAGTGAAAGCAAGAATTTTGCCTATTTTATTCACCACTTTATAGTCAATGTGTAGTACAGTGCTTTCTGCTGAAATGCTTAGTAAATTTTTGGAATGAATCACTATAATTACATTTCTGAAAAATATCTTATATAGAACAGTGCCATGTATAATAGTAAAATATAAGTATACTAGAGGCCCGGTGCATGGATTCGTGCAATGGTGGGTCCCTTCACCTGGCCTGTGGGGATTGGGCTGAAATCTACTCTCCAATGTCCCCTAAGGGGGTTTCAAATTGCGAGAGGGCAGTTCTCGAGTGATGCATCCCACAGCACCCCAGAATTGGGCTCCCTCCTTTCTGGTTTCCGGGATGGGTCACTCGAGAACCGCTGCTGCCAAGTCACTGCAGCTCGGCAGCTCCGATATTGAGTGTCTTCCCCCTGGTGGTCAGTATGCATCATAGCTACCAGTCAGACAGTTGGACGGTCACTTAGCCTTTTATATATATAGATAGATTAGTATTGTACAGAACTGGGCTATTTATATAGTTAGTCTAAGCATAGGGATATGGTTAAAGAATTTTTTAGAAGTACTTTCTGCTAGTATTATATTCTCATCAAGTTTTATTTATTTATTTTTATTCATTGATTTGAGAGAGAGAGAGATTTATTGTTCCACTTATTTATGTATTGGTTGCTGACCGGAGAATGAACCTGCAACATTGGTGTATCAGGATGATGTTCTACCCAACTGAGCTACCCTGTCAGGGCCCCATCATTAAGTTGTTTTTGTTTTTTTAATTCTTACCCAAGGATGTGTTTTTATTGATATTTTAGAGAGAGAGGAAGGTGGGGGGAGGAGAGAGAGAGAGAGAGAGAAACATCAATGTGAGAGAGAAATATCAATTGGTTGCCTCCCGTATGTGTCCCTACCAGAGATTGTGCCCTAGGTATGTGCCCTTACCAGGAATCGAACCCATGACCTTTTGCTGTATGGGATGATGCTCCAACCAACTGAGCCACCTAGCGAGGGCATCACTAAGTTTTTTTGTTGTTGTTGTTAATCCTTACCCAAGGATATTTTTTCCATTGATTTTTTAGAGAGGGGTAGAGACAGAAAAACATCGATGTGAGAGAAACACATAGATTGGTTGTCTCCTGCATGTGCCCTGGTGCAGGGGATCAAGCCTGCAAACAAGCCTTGACCAGAATAGAACTTGAGACCCTTCAGTCTGCAGGCCAGTGTTCTAACTACTGAGCAAAACAGCTAGGGTGGCATCACTAAGTTTTAACCTAGCAAACATTGGATCTCTTTGAACAAAGATTTTTAAGCAAAACTGGTTAGAGTTGAAAAGGAAGTGACTGGAAGAAAGAAACCAAAGCATAGTCTTCAGTAGCAGTTACTTATCCCAAAATATTATGATTTATTATAGGTAATATGTCTCAAGTTCAATACTCATATTTAATAGCTCATTTTCTTACCTACATAGTGAAAGTATGACTTAACATTGAGAAATGTTTTCCTGATTGTTGACGATGTAGTTCAGATCTTCCTCTCAATTCTTAAAAATTCTTAATCCTCGTTGATTCATATTAACTGTCCATAATTCATAGAGAAAGACTTTAAAACAACTATATTTTTAACTTGTTTCTCTTTCTGTACAGTCATGGTCAGAGAGACACAGCACAGATTCTTCTATTACGAGGAGCCAAATACCTGCCAGATAAAAATGGAGTAACCCCTCTGGATTTATGTGTACAAGTATGTTGTTAATGTATATTCATAGCCCCTTATTTTATAATAGAAGGAAACTGATAAAATAACGTTTTTTCTCAAATGAGAGTGTGGGTACAAAGATTTTTATTCTGTAAAGAATATGCTCTTTAAAAGGAACAGTGATATAAGAAATATATATTGGTCTTTATGACACATGAGCTTCTAAGACCCTTGGGTTCTCCAGAATGTAAGAATGTCTTTTTTTATATTAATGAGATGACTGGTGGCTGAAAGCCCTTAGATAGCTTCAGGATGTGGGCTGGTTGCCAGAGGAGCCAACCATGGGATTAGAGGGCAGCTTCTTCTCCTGTTCCTGGGGAGGGGAGAGGACCTGGAGCTTGAAATCAGTCACTGATGATCAATAATTTAATCAGTCATGCCTATATAATGGAACTTTCCTAAACACCCTAAACAGTGGGGTTCTCAGAGAGTTTCTGGGCTGGTGACTGTTAAAGTGCTGGGAGGATGACATGCCCAGAGAGGGCATGGAAGCTCTGCTCCTTCCCGCATACCTTGCCCTATGAATCTCTTCTATTTGGCTACTCCTGAGTTGTACTCTATATAATGAACAGGTAATAGTAAAGTGTTTCCCTGGATTCTGTGAGCTCTTCTAGCAGATTATCAAACTCAAAGAGGAGTTGAGGAACTTCTGACTTACAGCTGTTTAGTGAGAGTGTAGGTGGTCTGGACTTGTGATTGACTGACTTCTGAAGTGTGAACCAAGCTCCTTATCTGGGTTGTCTATACATTTTCCTTTAGGAACTTTGTTTTTAAAGCTAGTTAATTTTAAATATATTTTTTAGGGTGGATATGGAGAGACCTGTGAAGTATTAATTCAGTATCACCCTAGGCTTTTCCAGACAATTATTCAAATGACACAGAATGAAGATCTCCGAGAAAACATGGTAATGTAATTGTGCTAGTAGCCTGTAAATGAACAAGCTTTATGCATGCTTAACATATATGGCAATTTACAAATGTGTTTCTTAATCATATTATTATAAATATTTATAACGTTATTTATAAATAATGTATATTACAAATATATGAATAATGTAATTATGTATATATTATAATAATTTATTATAATGAATATTTTAATATTTGTAATAAATTTATGTTCATTATAGGATAAGTATAAATCATATAATAATTAATAAACTTTGTGCTAATATTTGGCCCTATGAATCTTCTTTCCTCTGGGTCTTTGGTTTCTCCTAAAGATAACTAGAATATTCCCCATAGTTAGAGGCAAAAAATCTAAGGAATATCATGTTATGATTGGTAATCACTACTTTACTGAGTTCTGTATTTAGAATAGCTCTACTCTTGGAAAATTGCAGCACTTATATTGCTTTTAAATTTTAGAATAAATTTCTATAAATAAACTTGGTGATTTCTGTTCTGTTTCTATTTTTTTATTGCTTTCTTGGTGATTTTGAGCAAAGATTTTAGGTCATCTTATCTCTATATTAGCTTTTGAATTTATGCAAGGCAAAATAACTGTAAAGGACTTGATTTCAGCTAATTGGCTTGGGGATACTTATTAAACTAATAGGTACTTAATTTCTTGATAAAGTTTATATAATTGCATTTTTTTTATTTGTAAAAAATTTAGTTACGGCAAGTTCTGGAACATTTGTCTCAGCAAAGTGAAAGCCAGTACCTAAAGATTTTAACAAGCCTTGCTGAGGTTGCCACAACAAATGGTCATAAACTGCTTAGGTAAGTGTTTCAAAATATAAACAGATCAATAGTAACAATATCTGTCAGCTTTTAGGCATTTCTGGGAATAGTTTATTTTGTTGGATGCCTTTTGTCAGTGGTAAGATGTTCTAAAAATTTGCTGACACATCCTCGTGTGTTTTGTTTTAAAGAACCAGGGCAATCAACTTTTACTAAGGAAACTTTAGTTTCCATAAAGAGGTAACACTAGGGACTTAAGTGGATTTGGACATATGCGTCTAGAATTTTACAACATGATTGCTTAGAACAGTCATGTAAGTAAAATGTGCAGTAAGAAGAATCAAGAAAGCAATTGAGGAATCTTGATAACTAATATGTAAAACTGGGTATACGCTAGTGTTTAACCTCTCAGTGCTCCCTAATGATTCCTTATAAAATTTTCTCCTTGAACTCTCCCCCTTTCCAGTCCTTTATTCCTTCCAAAAATTATGTGGTTCTCAGTCCATGGAGTTAATGCCTTTATAGTATTTGCATTTATATATATTACATTTTCCTGCAACTACACTTCTTTGTATGTGGTTAGCTACTCCAATTAGGAATAAACAGCCATTTAGAAATGGTTAATGTATTATTTTGTAGCTTACAAATTTAGTCCACTTCTAATTTGGATCATTTCCACTTTGTAATGGTCTTTTCACTTCTATTCTTAATTCATTAATAGTCTTAATAGGTCATGGTCTTCTCTGACCTCGGTTAGTTGCAACCAGACTTCTTCCTCCCAGCTACATTTTGCTTCTATAAGTCAGCTACATTTTGAAATCCATTATGTTACCCTTTTCTTCTGTCTTTCTTCACACTTTCCATATACTTCAGACCAGAATCACATTTTCTATTTACTCAAAAGGATCTTTGCTAGGTCACCTTCTTGTGTTCTTTCAGCCGTTAAGTGTTTCTTCAGTACTTTCATTCAGTATACCAGTTGATAATTTTTAAAATCTATTTTTACCTCTGAGACTACTTTAGACTCTGTAAGAGTCATTGAATTCCAGCTTGACATAATGCTCTCTTTTTATTTAGTCATTTCCATTAATCCATTTATTGGATAAGGACTTCCTAAGATTCAGGCATACTAAATAAAAGCATTTACACCAGACTCAGGTGTAAATCCAGACATCACCATTTACTGTGATCTCAGCAAGTAACTTTTCATAGTTTCCCCATCATCTACCCATTCGTCTAATACTTAATTTTTTTCAAAATATGTTTTTATTGATTTTAGAGAGAGAGGAAGGGAGAGGGAGAGAGAGAAACGTCAATGAAAGAAACATCAATCATGCCCTAACTGGTTTGGCTCAATGGATAGAGCGTCAGCCTGCGGACTGAAGGGTCCCAGGTTCGATTCCAGTCAAGGGCATGTACCTTGGTTACGGGCACATCCCCAGTAGGGGGTGTGCAGGAGGCAGCTGATCGGTGTTTCTCTGTCATTGATGTTTCTAACTCTTTGTCCCTCTCTCTTCCTCTCTGTAAAAATTCAATAAAATATATTAAAAAAAAAAAAAAGAAACATCAATCAGCTGCCTCCTGCACACCTCCCTACTGGGGATGGAGCCCAAAACCCAGGCATGTGCTCTGACCAGCACATTGGAATTGAACCAGTGACCTCTACTGCATGGATGATGCCCAACCAACTGAGCCACACTGGCCAGGGCCATCTAATACTTATTTTTTCAGTGCCTACTATCTACCAGACCATCTTCTAGGTGCTCGTGAAAAATACAGACAAGATCTCTCCCTATGTTTAATTTACAGTCCAATCGGGATTTTATTTCCTTTTTGGAAAATGATAGCAAATGTCTTAATGAATTGTTGTAAGAATGAAATAATAAGGTGCTTTGAAGTGCCAGGCACATATAGAGGAGATGACGGTGATAATAGTCTTGATGATATAAATGGAAAATGCTAGAGATAATGATGATTGTTTTAAATACCCCCATAATACCTTTAACCTGTTTTCCTACATTAGAAAATTTATTTGTTTTTTTCTATCTAAATCTTTGTCCCATTTCTTCTTCAGTAATCAGAAAACATTTATGTTTTTATGTATATATGTATGTTTTTATTTTAAGTTCATCTTTACAACTTATTAAGTAGGTACGAAGCTAAGGAACATTCACATGCATTGTTTTACTTAAACCTCATAGTAACCTTCTAATTTAGATATTGTTATCTCTGTGTTACCTATAAGAAAATTGTCAAGTTCAGTGATATGCCAAGCTAATACATAGAAGATGCAGGATTCATACCCTTGCTTATAAAAAGCAGATTCTAGATTTCAATCTAGCTCTTAAAAGAAACAAGGTTAGTGAAACAGGGGAAGCAGGGTAGGAAAAAGCGATCCATTGCCAGTACAAGTTTTAAAGCTACTTTGCTAAACTGTACTGTCTGTACTTACAATACTACTCTTAAAATGCTTTATAGAATATGTCATGGCTTTTGTTGGGATTATTAGTGAATTGCTACTGTTTTGAGTACACTAGTCTTCCTTCTGTGTTTCTCCTTTATTCTCCTATCACTACCACACTCACAACACTTATTATCTACACCAAGCAGTTCTGCAACACCAGCTGGGTGTCCTACAATGGATTTATTATTATTTTTAAATATGTGTTTATTGATTTTTAGAGAAGAAGGGAGAGGGATGGAGAGATAAGAACATTGATGAGAGAGACACATCATCTATTGGCTGCCTCCTGCATGCCCTCTGCTGGCATTAAGCCTGCATGTGCCCTGACTGGGAATCAAACTGGTGACCTCTTGGTTCCTGGGTTGACACCCAACCACAAAGCCACACTAACGGGGCTGGATGTCCTACAATTTAAATCAATTTTGACACTATCTACCTGGAGATAGCATCAGTTCCCACAGGTTAAGGGCTCAGTCCCACAAGGCTCCCCTCCCCCACTTAAGATGTTAATCCCAAGTAGTAGGTCCCCATAACTTCTGTTTGACTTGACTGCAAAGCTGAGGTTCTGATGACCTTCCCCCCTGGGATTGGATTATTTCCTAGAACAGCTCACAAATTCAAGGAAACACATTTGCTAATTTATTAAAGGCTATGAGAAAGGATAGAGATGAATAGCTAGATAAAGAGATACTTAGGGCAAGGTCTGGGAGAGTCCTGAGCACAGGAGCTTCTGTCCCCATGGAGTTGGCTTACATCATCCTTCTGGTACATGGATGTGTTCACCAACCTGGATGCTTCTTAAACTCCATATGTTTTGGCTTTTTATGGAGGCTTTGTCACATAGGCATGTGAAACATTAACATCACATCCAGCCCCTCTCTTCTCTCTGGAGGATGGGTTTGGGGTGAGGGGGGCTGAAAATTCTAATCATGGCTTGGCCTTTCTCGTGACCAGCTTCCATTCTATCCCACAGCCCACCAAGAGTCACCTCAGTAGAACAACAGACAGTGCTCTCACCCAGGAAATTCCAAGAGATTTAGGGTTTCTGTGTTAGGAATTGACATCAAAGACCAACTATTAGAACAAAAGATGCTCCTAGTGCCCCAACCACTTAGGAAATTATAAGGGTTTAAGAGCTGCCCAGGAACTGGGGGCAGAGACCAATAGATATATTTACTATTATCTCACAGCTACCAAGGTAGATTCTTAAGAGAATCTTAAATACAAATTATTCCCCCCCTTCCAATTTATGTTTAATAATGTTTAAAATTAAAAAAATTTAAATTACAATTGATATTTAATATTATATTATGTTTAATGGTATTTTTGCAGTTTGCCTTTCATTTATTCATTTGTGAATCATTTTGTGTTTCTTAACCCCAAGGTGATGTAATTTTGGCCATTTACTTTAATAGAAATTTTAATTAAGAAAATAAATATATATTAATTAGTGATAATTGAGATGTTATTTAGCGCACTTTTGAAAAATGAATAGCCTTTTGTCTAACTGATTCTAGGAGTATTTGATAAAGATAATAAATATTTCCTGAGGGCCTTTTCACACATATTTTGTTTCATTAAATGAGTTATCTTCCTATATATTTGTGATTGAGGTAACGATAGTTAACAATGTGTAAATGAACAGAGAAATCACAACCTTTGCTAAGTAAGACACTGACTGGAGGTGTACTCTCATAAAAACCGAAGGTGGTAGGTAGTGCTTTAAATTAGGAAACTAATTTTGAAACTTTTATATTGAGACCTGGTGGCTTGAAAAGAAATTATTTTATGATCAACTGAGAAGAGTATGGTGAAGTTTGGGTTTTATAATTTTTTTGTATCATACAAAAGAGATATTTCACTGGTTGGAAAGTGAAAAAATAGCATTTTTTTAGACCAACCAATTAGCTTGGAAGAAGTTTAAACTAGGTAAAGTAATATAAAATTATTAGGCTATATTAATAGTTGATAATTTTAAGATTCCATTGTAAGAAAATACTTCTTACCTTAAGATAACTCCAGATTAGGTACTTAAAACAAATATTTATATATTTTATGTTTTGACCATTGGTTATATTCTCGTGACTTAAAAATTAATAATTTGTTTATATGCAATTGAAGTAATATATATTTGGTATCTTCCTGTTAAAACATTCTGTTCTCTGTTAAGACAGGAAAGGAATTTTACTGGTTAAATTATGAAACAGATGGCCAATTCATGAAAATGTTTTAAAATAGATATTTTAAAATGTAATTTGTTTTATTCCATCTAATCTTTTCATATTTTAATTTTTTTTTTTAGCCTGTCTAGTAATTATGATGCTCAAATGAAGAGCCTTTTAAGGATTGTGAGGATATTTTGTCATGTCTTTCGAATTGGTCCTTCCTCTCCCAGTAATGGAATCGATATGGGCTACAACGGGAATAAAACACCAAGAAGCCAGGTGTTCAAGGTCAGAAAAGTATATGACGTTGTTATGAAGATAGACGTAAAAGAGATGAATTTGACAAAGCATGCTTTCATTAATCAGAAACCTCATACACAGGACGTAAGTTTGGTTCATACCTGTATCACTTTTTAAGTTAGGACACACCTTCCTCCTTTCATCTCTGTTTAATCAACAGCAAGTCTTAATTGGTGAGCTTTTATATTTTTCTTACAAGTAAACTTTTAATTCCTTTAGTGTTTTATTCTTTATTATCATAAAGATATTTAATGTTAAACATGACCAAATCTAATTTTTAATCTTTTAAGGTGGCATATGCAGCCATTATGTTTTTTAAAAAATATTACTTATTCAGAAGGAAAGAAACTGTTGAGTTTTTATTTAGATTTTATTATTATGTGTGTATATGTTTTCAAAGTAAATTTACTTTCAGTTACTGGGTACCAACAGTTAATTCCTGGGATCACTTCAAGGAAGAATCATTGAGATATGTATTTTGTTAAACATTTTGTGTTGCTTCGGTTGCTCCTGTTATATAAGCACATTTATGGATGGAATCCTTGGAAAAATGATTCCATATAAAACCCAAGGCAGTGTTGCTACTCGTGTTAAATGATAATTTTATGAAGTAAACAAAAGGAACATGGCTGCAATTGCTATTATTAATGCTTTTTTATGGCATATTTTCAGGTAACTCAGATTTTGGATAAATGTGTAATTTAATAACTTTCCATGTTATTTTTTTTTAGTTATTTTATCTTAGGAAATTTTCATAGTATAAAATTTGCTTTTGGGTTCATAAAGACATATTTTTTTCAACAGTGTGTTGAGTGTAAATATAGGTTCTCTATCCAAAAACTGATATACCGCTTTTATGTGCCACTTTCTCCAAAACGAGTTATGATTGACAGCTTCACTGTCTGTAAAAATCTGAAGTTAAATTAATGAGTTCTGCTAAATGATCCTTACATGGAAAATTTTGGCAGACACAAGTAAATGGTTTGTAAGCATTTTGACACTAGTAGATTCCTTAAAACTTAGAATAGGTCTGATAGCCTTTAGGAAGGTATGTATAAGTATCTCTGCATCTATTTGTCTGCTTCAGGAGCTAGAGAGATCTATCTCTCTCTTCCTTGCCTCTCTTTTTTTAAATTAGTATTGGAAAGAGATCTCACTTTTTTTCTCTTCTTTTTTCTTTCCCTATTGTGCCACCTCCTGGAAGAAGGAAGTTATGCATCTTATTGTAATTCAAATTTTGGCTTTTCACATACCACCACTTCCTTGAATATTAGGAGTGATAATTTATTGTCTGTGTAAAAATCTAATCTACACTATTGATTCATTGTTTTTCCAATGCTGCTTTAAGTGAGTTTTACTGCTGAAGCATTCACTTTAAATGAAATTGTTCTTAATGTGCTCATGCTGTTAGTTACTGAATCTACCACTGATTTTATTTTCTACTCATTCTTGCTACTCATTTACAATTATGAATAGAAAAATCAAATCATGTATAGATATGGTCACCATTATATTCACTATTTTCTGATTTTTTTGGTTAAAATTTGAATTTGCCATCTATTTGCTGATATCAGAAAATAAGTATGTGCTGAATATCCTCTCTGTAGGCATTAAATGCTTGTTAGTTTTTTACCTACCCAGTCAGTACATATGTAACTGAGTAGAAAAAGATATTACTGTTTTTCTTTTAGTTTTTTTCCCCATGGAATCCAGACTCTGTATTTTTATTGTATGTGTCAATTATATATATATTTATCTATTTTATTTGTTAGTATTTTTATTTCTTTTTTAAGTCATTATTTTCTGCATTATTGACAACTACTTTTGCCTCTGATCACTTATTTTCTCTTAAATTTTGATCTGCCACTTTGTTAAAACATTTTTATTATAAAACTTAGCTCTCCACTTTAAGAATAAAAATAGAAGTTACATTGTCATTTATGTATATAAGATCTCTTCATTGTGGGATGATTCAAGTTGTAAAAATCTTTAAACATTTGCCGAGTTGCTGTAATGTTAAGTTGGAAATATCATTTTAATTTTTACTACATTTTTCTAAGGTAGCAATTGATCCCCACTTTCTATTTCATTAACTAGGTACCATGTCCCTCTATTAAAATTAACTAACAGGTTTTCCATTAAAATGAATAGGTTTATAGGCCGTGTGTTTTTAGTAGGTGAAATTATTTAACATCCTGTTAGTAGTTTTCTCATTTATCTTAGAAGTCCTTTAAATTTGTCTGAACACTTACCTAGTTTTTAGTTTAAGAGATTTTTACCTGGCGCCATGGAACTCTCGGAGCATCTGTAGGAGGAGGCAGTTCTGGTTTAGAAGAAGGGTGAGCATGGGCCAGAGAGTTTAGGTTCCTCAATCTTGATATGCTATTGTGAATAGTAAGCTGTGACTATTAACAGTATCATAGAAGTATAATTGGGAAAAATTGGAAGCCAAGAAAGATTGAGAAACTTTTAACTATAAAATCTTATCTTTTGAGTTGTGGCATTTGTCATTATCAAGATGAGAATAGTCAGACTAACAAGAATCCAAGATACTATTAATGGATTTAGTAAAGTTAGTATTGCTTTCCTGTCAGATTTGTATCTCACTTTGGCACGTGGATCTTGAAAAATTTCTAATTTTTCTGCAAGTTGGGATTACATATACAAATGTTTTAAAAATTATATATGATTGTCATTATTACTATAGGGAGAATGTAATTCTGTGGTGAAGATCACCTAATAATTTGAAATGAAGCAATATTTCCACAGTGCCAAGAAGCCGTCTCATATTTTCCATAGTCATTAACTCATTTTTCAGTAGCAGTTGATCTGTACAGTGCTTTGTATTTTGTCTAATGTTTTTATCATTATTTATGAGTAGAAAAAGCATCACAGATATGGTTTACTTTTAATTTTTAAAATGTACTATAATCTTTTTGTCTGTGGCTGATACCACAGTTAGAAATTAAAGTTATTTTCACAGTATTCTTTTGTGGTTGAGGAAGGAATTTTCTGCACAAATCTTTAAAGGGATAGCTCCCTAAGTAAAACTACCTCAAGGTTGGGATTTTGTTTTTAGTGCATGTGTGAATGAAAAATGAAAAGCTAGTAAAGAGAGAAAAGAAAAGGCCTAAGATGATTTAACTACTCTTTTTCCCTCTTTTTCTTTTAAGTCTACACTGTGTTTATTGAAAACTTTCTAGTTTTTTTAGTATTCTGGATTATTCAAATTTTGTCTTTCATTTTTGCACATTGCCCGTATTTGAAAATAAGATTGTGATAGGTTCAGGCTCAGTGCTCTCGTCTGCTTGAGCAGCAGGAATCATTTCCTGCCTTAGGCTCATCTCCATCCAATGGTTGATTTTCTAGGTTTTAGCAATTCTCATTTAGAGGCTTATTATTCCTTTTTCCTTTTGTTTCAAACAGTTTTACATCATTACCACCTGTTCTTTCTGTTTTAGAAGTTCATTTTCTGATGTAAAGCTAAATAGTTTTGTTGACATAGTTCTTTTCATCTTTTATAGCAGGTTAAATGTTTTGCTCATGAACTGAAACTATTGACTCAAACTTGAATCATGATTAGAATTAAAAACATTTTCAGTGAAGCCCTGGCCGGGTGGCTCAATTGGTTGGAGAATCATCCTGTACACCAAAAGGCTGTGAGTTTGATTCCTGATCAGGGCATATGCCCAGATTGCAGGTTTGACCCCAGGTCAGGGCAAGTGTAGGAAACAACCCATCGATGTTTCTCTCTATTCCTCTCTTCTTCTCTCCCTCTCAAATCAAGAAACATATCTTCCGGTGAGGATTGAAAGAAAAAAAAAAGACATTTCAGTGAAGGTATTATGTCAGTATTTGTGGCAGCCAGTTCTTTTGCCTCTTGTTTAAGCAGCTCAGGGACACTGAGTCTTCCAGCTGCAGTCTGTGCCTAATCATGGAAAGGCTCTTTGTGGGGAAGGGGGTGCTCATTTCAGCCTCAGAAAGGGTATAATTAGTTTCGCCTTTTGCTTACCTGTTTACCAAGTGCCTACTAATTAAATGCTTGCTGAATGAGTGAATTAGGTTTTTGTTAATGGTAGTGGGTGTTTTATTTTATTTTGTGTTCTGCTTTTTGGTTTAACATTTAAAGTGGAGACTTAAGGGTGATTTAATTGTTTGTAAATTCAATAAGTGAAATATTTTCAAAAAGAGAATGTTATGGAAACCTGGAGGAAGGCTAAAGATGTAGCAGAGGGATTTGTTAGATAATAACTGGAAATAATTTTCTGGCAGAACAGGTTCTTTAAACATTTTCTAAGGTTTCAAATATGATTGCATAATCTCTTCCCATAGTGGTCTTTAAAAGTAATATTATTTATTTTAGTTGAAGTATTGTAAGGGTGTGTCTTTCCAAAATACATGATTTGGTTTACAGCATTCTGTGGTCATATAAGAATAAAAAAATAAAATTATGATAAACATTTTGCAATGTATACATATATCAAATCATTACATTTTATACCTTAAAGTTATACAATATTTATGCTAATTATATCTCTATAACCTTTATAGTGGTTCTCAACCTTCTTAATGCCGCGACCCTTTAATATAGTTCTTCATGTTGTGGTGACCCCCAACCATAAAATTATTTTTGTTGCTACTTCATATCTGTAATTTTGCTACTGTTATGAATCGTAATGTAAATATCTGATATGCTATATGTGTTTTCCGATGGCGCGACCCACAGGTTGAGAACTGCTGCGTAAAGGAATGAAAATAAGAACCCATTGGAGTATGCATGTATGCTTTTAAAACTAAATACAAATTTTTAAAAGAAGATTGCTTATGTATTTTTTGTTAGGTTTTAGTTTTCCCTTTTTATTCCAAGGAATGCATAAATGCAAATTAAGTTTTCATTATAAATGGAGAAATTGTCATTTATATGACATTCATAACTTTTTGTTACTTGCCTATAGGCATTGCCGTTACATTAACCAGGGAAAATAGTAGTATCTAGAGTAAATTTTCTCTTTGATAATATTTGTTTGGCTGGAGCTTCAGAATGATATATTTTTAAAAAAACTTCTCTTTTTCTCTTAGCCTCTTGAATTGCTTTGGCACTCATTAGATGAATGGCTAGTTTTAATAGCTACAGAACTGATGAAAAACAAAAAGGACTCAACGGATATCACTTCTATTTTACTAAAACAAAAAGGCCAAGATCAAGATGGTACTTCCATTCCTCCATTTGAACCTCCAGGACCTGGGAGCTATGAAAATCTATCCACTGGTACCAGGGAATCTAAACCAGATGCTCTAGGAGGGAAACAGGAAGCCGGTGCAGACTGTCAGGATGTTATTTCTATGACAGCTAACCGGCTAAGTGCTGTCATTCAAGCTTTTTACATGTGCTGTTCTTGTCAGATGCCTCCAGGGTAAGAGGGTTTCTGCTTTGTTTTTTGTGCAGGTCTCAGCCTATCAATAACCAATCTGGTGGCTGGTCTAGCCCTTGTGGTTCTTATTATGATTGCAAGGCGCCCTTCAGCAATAACCATCAGGAAACTTTGAAAAAAAAAAAAAGTTTATTACTTACAAGGTCTGGAAATTACATGGCACACCTGGGGCCACACAGCGAGGTCACAGGGAGAGAGCGAGAGCAAGAGCGTGGCCCACTAGCGAGCTAGTGCAAAAGCGGTATGGGTATGGGCCTGGTGTTCTGCTTTTTGGGGGGTCGAAGGTGGGGGTTTTCTGGTGCTCAGTCTTTATTGGTGAATTTAAAACATAAGAGTGGGAATTTAAAGTGTGGGAAGAGAAAAAAACAAGTGGCCTAAATGGTCAGTTATCCAAGTCAACCAAGATCTCTAAAACAAAGGAGCCTCAATGTGGGAAGGTGGCCTGGCTCTTATCTAGTTGGGTGGCTGGCAATGTGTTTATTAAAGATAGCCATCTTTGAAGTATGTGCCTCTTTGAAGCAGAAGCCTTGGCAACCAAAACTTAAGTCAGGCGCCTACATTACAAAACGGGAAACCCAACTGTCAAGGCTTACATGGCATGCTTATTACTTCTCTGATAGATGAAGAAATGCTATGATTTTTTATTTTATTTTTTGTAATTTCAGTAAAAACAGCTGGTAATTTGTTGATTTTAAGTTCTATTCTGATCTAGTTTTAGGATATTCATACCAATCTAGGATTATTTGATAGGCATTCTATAAGTTATTAGCATGAGGAATGCTGAATACCACTTTGTATAGGATCACTTTATTATGTATTTGAAATGTATAGACCAGAGATGCTTATTAACACATCAAGGTTTCAAAAAAGTCACTTGTTTATATGTTAATGAAAATTTTATATTTTTTCATTTTATAGATTGGGTAGACATGCCTCAATTTCTTAATTTGTAAAGATGATCCAAACCCAATTTTTGTCTAGAAGCCAGTCCAGTTCAATACATAGTTTTCAAATTTGCTGTATCATCAACTTTTGTCTGTGTGTTCTGATTTGTTTTTTTACTCCCCACAGAATGACTTCACCCCGTTTCATTGAATTTGTCTGCAAACACGATGAAGTCTTAAAATGCTTTGTTAACAGGTAAGGCTTTCTTGGACTCATAGACTGCACTTGTAGCCTTTTCTTTCTTTACTTATGTTTTCATCTCTACAGAAAAAATGTTACTTCTGTTAAACTATTAAAATAATGTTCAGTGACAAGTGAAAGTATTGTAGGTGTGTTGCTCTTCTGTTTCAATATCCATATATCTGAATCTGCATTTCACTTAATGCTAGTCATAGTTTCTGTTCATTTAAACAAAATGTATTTTTCTTTCAGAAATCCCAAAATTATATTTGACCACTTTCACTTTCTCCTTGAATGTCCTGAGTTGATGTCAAGATTTATGCATATCATAAAAGCACAGGTATAAATTTCTCTTAATCTTGTTTTTAATCTGTTTAATGAAAATTGACTTTCTAAATTTGAGTACTGTTTAGTGAAGTAATTATTATATGTGAGACCTCCTGCTATAAAGGATTAAAATTACCTTATTCTTTAATATATGAAATTACATTAGTATGTTTGTTTAGTATGAGGAGTAATTTTTCTTCAAGAAATGTGTATTGAGGTCCTATGTGCAGTGGCTATTCAAAGACAACAGAACACGTTGTCACATTCCTGAAATGAGCTTCATGGAACATTAGCCCTATAAAGCTCATGGTCCTTGAGAAAAAGATTTTATCCCCAAATACTTTGGGAAATGTGCCCTGTTGGAGATTTATGAAGTTTATCAGCATCATATTAAAGGCTTTGAGAAGCCCTCTACTGAAAAGAGTGATCTAATTTTGTTAATCCTCCAAATTTATTTGACCTGATAACCTTTCCCCTGCCAGGGTTCATTCCACATATCTCACATTTCATGTAATGTGTTAGAAAAAGCTTGTTTTACTACTTAACAGCTCATGTGACTTTGGGTACAGCTCCAGCCTCCTTGAGTCTTTTATGAGATAAACTTCATAAAACTATTAAGAGTATTAAATAGTGACTGGCATATATGTTCAATTAATGGTAGTTGTTTTGGAGGTAGAAGACATGTATCCTTTCTCCTAGAGGATCTTAATTGAGTCTAGCAGAGGAGATAATAAATGTACCTATATGATAGTAATTACAGTATCACCTGGCTCTTCAGGCGTTTAAGGGATGAAACACTTGCTTCTGGCTGCTATAATCCAGAGGAAGTTCAAAGAGGAGATGGTTTTTAAAGTGGACCTTGAAAAACATGCAAAATTTGAAGAGAATAAATGGGGAAGATGAACATTCTAGTTAAGATATGGACATGTAGGTGGGAGAAGCAGAAAATTTGTGTAGGTGAGGAATGAGATACAATTCTGGAAAGGCAGATTTAGGTCATCCTTTGTTAAACCTCGACTGCTATATTAAATATATCTTTGTTTGCTAGGGTGGCAGGAGCCAGTGATAGCTTTGCCTTAAGACAGTGATGGTGAACCTATGACACGCGTGGCAGAGGTGACACGTGAACTCATTTTTTTGGTTGATTTTTCTTTGTTAAATGGCATTTAAATATATAAAATAAATATCAAAAATATAAATTTTTGTTTTACTATGGTTGCAAAGATCAAAAAATTTCTATATGTGACACGGCACCAGAGTTAAGTTAGGGTTTTTCAAAATGCTGACACGCCGAGCTCAAAAGATTCACCATCACTGCCTTAGGAGAATGACATGACCCTGGCAAAATTTTAGGAAACACTTTGTCAGAAGTGTAGGATAGACTGCAGGCTGTGGTTTGGTTAGTAGTCATAGGATAAATACTACAGGTGTGTTTAAATGTCTTTAGGGACACTGATTCTTTGAGAACTTAAAGAAAGCTAAGAACTAAATCTGACAAAATTATACAGATGTCTATTAGTATCCTTTGACATCTGTTTAATAATGAATGGTAATGTAAAAGAGAAGGTAGTAATAATAACTTACATTTATTGAATGCTAACTTCAGGCCAGGTACCATACATTTTTTTACGTGGGTTATTTTATTTTTATAACAATCATGTGGAGATGGGTACTCTTAACTAAAGAGGTTAAGTACGTTAAGTTATTCAGCACCAAGTGGGAGAACCAGAATTTAAAAGTCTGTCTGGTTCTTAAGTTCATTTTCTTAACCTATATTGTGTGACTCCATTCTAGGGCAAATGAGATTATGGGTGAAAGAAACTTAGTTTTGAAAGAGGTAGTGTGCTATTTTTTAATATTGTCTTTGCTTTTCACTTCCTTTATCCCTTCCCTTTCTGAACAATTCAGTCAAAAAGCATCTGCATCAGCTATCCACCTTACCCACCTCTTTGACTCACAGAGTATTTTGTTGCCTGACCAGAGTGAGGAAGGTGCCCTCAAACATTGTGGTGTTCCTCTTATGGTGTTTGGAGCTTGGGCGTGGTAAGGAGGGTGTCTGTGTAGAAGAGGGCCTCAGCATGGAGTATGTGAGTTGCAGTGGCGTATGGAGAATGTCCAGTGTGGAGGGTGGTGACAGTGGCTCAGTAGTTTGACAAAGCCCAAGTGGGGTACAGGGCATGCATGCAGTGAACAAACGGTTCATGTAAGCTATATGCAGGTTGTTCAAATAAGTAAGTATAGTGAATATAGTGGGAGCTTTGTTTCTCATTGTTGGAGAAAGGAGTTTCAAAAAGGAGGAAAATAGAATGAACCATGTGCCTTTGGAGTGGAATTGGAGATGGCAGTGTGAGCTTACAATTTTTAATGTAGATAGATAGATATAGCTAACCCAGCACCCAGTTCTTGGTCTCTGAATACTGTTCTTAATGAATCAGGACTCATTGGAGAAATGGCTAATTCCAGGGCTGGGTCAGTGAAAGTACAGATGAGCCTGCAACATCTTATGTGCAAGAAAATTTTTTAAAGAATTATGACTCAGAATTAATAATGACTCAGAACCAGCTCGAATGTACTCCACTGTCCAAATCTGGAACAATCTGGCCATCAAAATAAATACTGATGGCAAAATATTATAAATACAACCAACTCATGAGTCTGTATTGAAAAAATTAATGAATACATGGAAAGTTTGATGATGTGAGGGATATATATATATATTTTTAAATATATTTTATTGATTTTATTACAGAGAGGAAGGGAGAGGGATAGAGAGCCAGAAACATCGATGAGAGAGAAACATCGATCAGCTGCCTCCTGCACACTCCCAACTGGGGATGTGCCCGCAACCAAGGTACATGCCCTTGACCGGAATCGAACCCGGGACCCTTCAGTCCGCAGGCCGACGCTCCATCCACTGAGCCAAACCGGCCAGGGCGTGAGGGATATTTTTACTGTCTCAAAGTATGTCCCCATGGAATACTTACAAATTACAAAGATTTAAAAAAGGCCTTTATCACCCAGGCTGGGTGGCTCATTTGATTGGAGTGTCATCCTATACACCAAAAGGTTGTGGATTTAATTCCCGGTCAGGACACACACCTAGATTGTGGGTTCGATCCCTAGTTGGAGTGAATATGGGAGGCAGCCAATCGATGTCTCTCTGTCTCTGTCTCTGTCTCTGTCTCTGTCTCTGTCTCTCTGTATCTATCTCCCTAAAATTAATAAACATGTCCTCAGATGAGGATTAAAATAAAAATAAACAAACAAAAAAAACTTTACAGTGGGCACATTTGGCAGTGACAAAGCAGAACGATCAGTGTGCCAGCTGACTTGGCGCACAGAGAAGAACATGGCATCACTTCTTTAATATTCCTGCCAAAGATGCACACCCTGCATTTAATCATGAGAAAACATCAGACATACTAACAAAATAAGTGACCTGCAATCTTTAAAAGTATTGAGGTCATGAAAATTAAGTAAACAATGAAACTACCAGAATGAAACAGGACTAAATAAAATTCTTGAGGTATTGCACTATAACGGACATTATTAGGAAAAGAACAAAACTTGAATTAGGTCTAAGGATTAGATACACTGTAGTAATGTGTCTGTTAATTTTCTGATTTTTGACAGTTGTTTTCTGGTATGTAGAAGAATTCTCTTGTTTGTGAGAAATGCACACTGAAGTTTTTAGACTTGACTGGACATCATGTTGGCAGCTTACTCTCACAACAGGAAAAAGAAATACTTTGTATTCTACTGTTCTTAGAAATTTTATGTAACTTGGAGGCTGTCCCAAAACACAGTTAAAAACAAAAAGGATCTCTGCTAAGGGATTGACTTCTTGTTCTGTTGGTGGTTTTCAGGTGGCTTGTAGTTAAAGGGAGAAACATTTTGTATTGCTGTACAAATGCTAATAAGAGGAACCTCTGTAATCAGTCCTGTTTTGTGAATTATTTTATGGAAATGCAGGTACTGAGAAAGTTTACATACAAAAATCTGCCCTTTGGCTTTGTAGGTATGTGTATATGTATGTGGATGCTTTGATCTTACAGATATCTTAATTAGCTTTTAAAGGTAGAACTTTATATTTTTTTATGTTCCATTTGAATTACTTTAAAAAATTGTCATTTGCTTTTATTTCTTGGTTCACATTTTATAGATAAAAGGTATAATTTAATATTTAATATCTTATAATGGCAAGGACAGTTAACGTAATTTTAAATCTTATTAACAATAATTTTAACATTATTATGAGTGATAATAAGAACAACACCTCTGAGCATTTTGGGTGTTAAGTATTTCTACAAGTTAACCTCTGGATGCTGCATTTTTTCTTCTGTGAAATGGGGACAGTAAGAGTCCCTTTGCCTCATAGTGTTGTGAGGATTACATGTCAAAATACATCTAAAGTGCTTAAAACTTATAGGTGCTTTAATAAATGTTAGCTAATCTATGATTATAATTATTATTATGCCTTATATATGCATTATTTCACTTAATCCTCACAATTATCACCTAAGGTATTATTTCCCCGATTTTACAGGTGGGAAAACTAAAGTTCTTAGAGGATTCTTAATTTCTTTACATTCTTAATGTACTCTAGTTTATTGTACTTCACTATTTAGAACTTAGTATATATGTATTGTTCTAATGCTTGTTTCATTTCTTTAACTATATTAAACAATTTTAGCAAAGAATTTGAGATTTTTATAGCTCTTATGTTACCTGCAGTGTTGGCACATGCTGGCTACTCAGCAATACTTTCTGAGTAATCATAAAAAAATTGCAAATCACATGCAGTTGCATATCTGGCAAATGAACAAAAGGTAGAGACTTTCTTTACTGTTTAAGAGGTCGTATTCTTTAATTTTTAGGGTGGAAGAAGGGAAGGAAGAAGGAGGCTACAAATTCTTTTTTGGTTGCTGCATGTATTCAGAGGTTATAGTAGAAATAAGAATAAAGTTAGCTGTAACAGATTATTTTCATGAAAAATTAAATGGAACATGTGACATAATTTTTCTGGATGTGAAAATTCATTTTTTATAAGCCTTGTTGTGTTTAAAAGAAAATGAGAGTAAATATATTTAATTACATATATGACATTAAGTTCTTAGATATAACCTAATTTGTCAAGTCTTTTCTGTTGAAAAGGCAAGGCATTTTTAAAAATTTATTTTTAAATATATTTTTATTGATTTCAGGGAGGAAGGGAGAGGGAGAGAGAGAGATAGAAACATCAATGATGAGAGAGAATCATTGATTGGCTGCCTCCTGCACTCCCCCTACTGGGGATGGAGCCCACAACCTCGAGCATGTGCCCTGACTGGGAATTGAACCATGATCTCTTGGTCCATAGGTCCATGCTCAACCACAGAGCCATACCAGCTGGGCAAAAATGCAAGGAATTTTAACACCCTTTAGATAGTCAAAGTATTTCAGCCATGCTCTGCCTTTTTGTAAATAGTTGTTGAAATGTCAGGACGTTATCTAGAACTACTTGGTATAAATAAAGGTCTAAGGATGATTACTTGTAGCAAGGGTATTTAGCATGCTAGTTAAGTAAATTTAATAGGTGACTGAAACACTAACATATTTTACTGTTATTTGTTGGGGCAGCCATTTAAAGATCGCTGTGAATGGTTTTATGAACATTTGCATTCAGGACAAGCAGATTCAGACATGGTGCATAGACCAGTGAGTGAGAATGACATCCTGCTGGTTCACAGAGGTATGCTAACAAAAGAAATGCTGTGCATGTGAGGCCCCAAACACTAGCTATTGTAAATTTTAATATGTACAATTAACCAGTGCTGCATATTTAGATTCCATTTTTAGGAGTAGCTGTGAAGTCGTGTCAAAAGCAAATTGTGCAAAGCTAAAGCAAGGAATTGCTGTACGGTTCCATGGAGAAGAAGGCATGGTGGGTATAAACATAAGTGATGAAGATCAATGTATATAAAAGATTAAGATACACTTGAATAAAATTTAATATTTAATTGGTAATTGAAGAAATTTAATATGCTTTTAATTTTATTGTTTACAAAAAACTTCCCCATCTTATATATTTATGTTGATACTTAATTTTATTTTCTTGAACTTAGGGTCAAGGCGTTGTGCGTGAATGGTTTGATATTCTGTCTAATGAGATAGTCAATCCTGATTATGCATTGTTTACCCAGTCAGCTGATGGTAAGTTGTACAGCCTCCATGACTCTTTCTGTGACTTGTCACATTCCAAACTACTTCACTGTATTTTATTCTTTGATTCCCGTAGTAGCCCTATAATATAGGTTGGGTATTCCCATTTCATAGAAAAGAAAACTAAAATTCAGAGTTTTTGTCTATGTTGGCACAATTAATGAATTGGAAACTGACTCAGTCTAGCAGTCTTTCCTCCCAGCGGTTCTCAACCTGTGGGTCGTGAACAATGAAAATACATCCTGCATATCAGATATTTACATTACGATTCATAACAGTAGCAAAATTACAGTTATGAAGTAGCAACGAAAATAATTTTATGGTTGGGGGTCACCGCAACATGAGGAACTGTATTAAAGGGTCGCGGCATTAGGAAGGTTGAGAACCACTGCAACAGTTGATTCTCCAATGCTTGTCTCAAGTACTCGTGCTGCCCCCAAGAAACTTCATTAACTCTTTATAAACTAGAACTAAATTTATTCACTTTAAGGATTGTCCTTTAGTCTACTTTTCTTGAGTTTAAATTTCCTTTAGTGAAATAGTGATAGTAGATGATGTGAAAATAATACAAGTACTTATTTGGAAAAATTAAAATTTGCTAATCCTATTTAAGTTTCCAAGCCTCAAAATTTATTGGTTATAACAAACAAAGTCTGGAAATCATGATATCAAATCTTAACTTACAGTTTACTTATGTATAGTAACTTAATTTTCAGTCTTTTTAAAATGTCAAGACCTGACAACTAAGAAATTCTTATTTAACCATTTAATACAGATAAAAAGCTCTGTTTGTTGAAATGGTACTTGTGACACAGAATTGAATTTGACATTGTAGGCTAAATGGAAATGATTAGTGTACTGCCTCATTTGTGTGAGGTATAATTAAGGGTTTTGTAACTTCATAGACACATATCCAAGTGAAGGTAGGATTTTAGTTTTTAAATGCTATGTACAGTTGCTTTTTTCCCCTAAAAACTTTTTCTTTCCCATTGTTTAAATTTTTTTTTATAAGGGTAGAGTGCTTCATTACTTGTAGTTCCTGATTGCATCCAACCAAATGAGTAGCACATCTTCTTTGAATAAGAAGAATGACTCTAGCCCTAGCCGGTTTGGCTCAGTGGATAGAGCGTCGGCCTGTGAACTGAAAGGTCCCAGGTTCGATTCCGGTCAAGGGCATATACCTTGGTTGTGGGCACATTCCCAGTAGGGGGTGTGCAAGAGGCAGCTGATTGATGTTTCTCTCGCATCAATGTTTCTGACTCTCTATCCCTTTCCCTTCCTCTCTGTAAAAAATCAATAAAAAATATTTAAAAAAAAAAAAAAAAAAAAAAGAAGAATGACTCTAAGAGAGGCAAGTGGAGGAGGGCTGCAGTGGTGCTAGGCAGCTGTAGATATCCAGCTGTGTGATGGGCTCCTCAGATATACTTGGTGTATTTGAAATTATTTATAAACTAGAAGCCTGGTACACGAAATTCGTGCATGAGTAAGGTCCCTAGGCCCGGCGATCAGGGCCGATCTGTGGGATGACTGGCAGGGTGATTGGGGCCCCCCTGTTTGCACCCACCTTGGCTGGCCTGGTGCTGCCCACTCACCGACCCCACCCCACACTGCCACCGCTGCCAGTTGCCTCCCTCTGTGGGGCAACTGGCGGGGTGATCAGTGGGCCCCCGATTGTACCCGTCTTGGCTGGCCTGGGGCCTGTGGTCTGGGGGCAGCTCCTGAGTTGAGTGTCTGCCCCCTGGTGGTCAGTGCGCTTCATAGTGACTGATCGTTCTGCCGTTCAGTCGATTTGCATATTAAGCTTTTATTATATAGGGTTATATAGGTTATGGGACTGCCTGCTTTAACTCTGTTTCCTTTGATTGTTTGCTATGAGATGAATTTGTTGAATTTGACAAGACTAATGTGGCATTAAATTTCATTATTTAGGCCTAATCTTTGATGTAAGATTTAGCATTAAAACATTGTATTTTATTTTTATTTTTTAAAATATATTTTTATTGATTCCAGAGAGGAAGGGAGAAGGAGAGAGAGAGTTAGAAACATCAGTGATGAGAGAGAATCATTGATTGGCTGCCTCCTGCATGCCCCACACTGGGAATTGAGCCCATAACTCTGGCATGTGCCCCGACTGGGAATTGAACCTTGACCTCCTGGTTCATAGGTTGATGCTCAACCACTGAGTCACACTAGCCAGGCTAAAACATTGTATTTTAGATGCATTTCTTTTCTTTATAGCCCTTTATTCTGAGTCTTGTATACCGTTCCATACCTGAAAAACAGATTTGGTGTGAGATCATTAGTCGAGGTACTTCCTCATACTACAAATTTATAGTAGAGCATATATTGAAGCACATAGACTATAAAAATTGTGATTTGTCCTTTTTGTAAGCCATATGAGTGTTCTTTTCGGGTTCATAATATGAACAGATTAAAATCTAGATGAAATTGTTCTTATGTATAGTTGACAAGAAGGGAATTACATTTAAGAATTAAAATTTCCTAAATGTGGGAAATGTTTGAATAGACCTAATGTCTATAATAATGTCTTTAAAACTTGCTTTCTAATTAAATTAAGATACTTAACATTAGACAAGTAATATGCTATAGTGGCCAAGAGTTTGGCCTTTGGTGTTAGGCTCTGCTCCTTTTTATGTTACTACGGGAATCAAAGGATAAATTGTATAATACAATTTTTCTGAAGCAATGAAAATAACTGGGAGTATCACAGTTACTTTTATTTTGAACTTAAAACATAACAGAATTTATATTATGTTTTCTCTAGCTTTCAAGTTAAAAACTATTATTTGTTTCCTGAATATTTCCCCCCATTTTTTTCTTTTGATTTCTCTTCTATTCTTTTTAATAACCCAGACTTCCCAGAAAGTACTTAGAGAAGGAATTGTACAGACCAAGGGGGAGAAAGTTCAGTTCATCAAAAATCTTTACTGGTTCATCAATAACCCTAAGCATTCACTCTTTTAATACATAAAAAACGTTTGTGATTATTCTCAGAATATTGTATTTTTTGAAATTATGGCTATGTTTATCCTTAAAGTGTTTCTTCATCCCACAGAATTTTGCCTTGACTTTTAATACCCAGTCTTACATTATGATTCTCTAAAGGTATTTAAAAGTAGATGATTAGCTTCATGGGGCCCTTTTAAATCATTCAGCCATAAGCTTCCAAATGTGTACCTTATATCTCAGTAAATTGGTCATGGCAATTTAGTCCAATGCCAACTCTGATAAATCAAAGACCAACGAAGCACAAAGGGAATTATTGCCAGAGTACTATGTATACTAAATGACCAAACTTTTCACTCTCTAGTACTTTCTTATTGTTTCTTTATTTTCCTTTGATGCAGTTTCATTAATTTTATCCATTATTTATTTTAGGTAGCACAAGCTCAATAAATACTTGTTGAATGATAAGAGGATTTATAATCCAAGTTAGTGATTATCACAGAAAAACAGGGAAGAAGGGTTACTTAAAGTTGAGGTCTTGGTATTAGGTTTTTTCATTGCACTAGATATTTTTGAGGCGTTTTTTTATTGTGACAAAATTTACCATTTTAATAATCTTGAGGTGTTATAATTCATTGGCACTATGTGCATTCATAGTGTTGTGTATCTGTCACCACTGTCTTATTTCCAGATCTTTTTCATATAGGTGGAGTCATATACTCCATTACTCTAGATTTTGACAGTAATGGGTAACTATTGCCCTTGCCATTTTTACTTTTATACCTCAGAGATACTTATTTAACCTTGATTATTTGCCATGAGGATGAATTGGTTGACTTGTGGACTTTTGGTGATTTTCTGAGAATTGTTAAAAGGCATCAAGTTCATTGATTAGTAGTTCTATTACTTAAGAATAGTTATTTTCTTATAGTGCTGTGTTCCTTAAGGAGCAAAAAGTAGTAAATACTTACTGCACTGGGCCTGAATGAGACAATGTCTGCCTTAATTCACAGCCTAGCAGTTATTTATCCACACTGTCCAGGGAACCGTGAGTGTGTGTGTGTGTGTGTGTATGTATGTGATCTTTTAATATATTATTTCCAGGATCTCTCTGACACATCTTCCAATTAAAATACTTAAAAGTGCAGTTTAAAAGTACTTTAAAATTTTTCTCTCTGCACAAAGATGTACTGTGATATACATGTGTGAATTAATGTCTTTTGTACTTCTAGTTTCACTGCCTGTTATATATTTCACAAAGAACATTCCTGTGGAAATTAATACTTAACTTTAGCTTTGCTGAAGTTTTGTATGAACAAATTTATCTGCATTAAAATGATGTCTCTTCTGTATATAGATTCTTTAAAATACATTATTTTGTATTTATTTTAATAGGAACAACTTTTCAGCCTAATAGCAACTCCTATGTAAATCCTGATCACCTGAACTATTTCCGTTTTGCTGGACAGATCTTGGGATTAGCTTTGAACCATAGGCAGCTGGTCAACATTTACTTCACAAGATCGTTCTATAAGCACATTCTTGGTATGGCTCTAATTTATTTATTTAAAGTGTTTTTTTTTCTTTTTAAATATATTTTATTGATTTTTTACAGAGAGGAAGGGAGAAGGATAGATAGTTAGAAACATCGATGAGAGAGAAACATCGATCGGCTGCCTCCTGCACACCCCCCACTGGGGATGTGCCCACAAGCCAGGTACATGCCCTTGACCAGAATCGAACCCGGGACCCTTCAGTCTGCAGGCCGATGCTCTATCCACTGAGCCAAACCAGTTAGGGCTAAAGTGTTTTTCCTATAAGTAAATATAGGAAATATTTACTTGAAGACTATAAGTAAATATAGTCTTTAAGTAAATATAATTTGATAAGTGATGCCATTTTGAATGAGAACATTTTTATTTTGCTTAGAGACTATCTGTGTATGTAAGGCATTTAAATGACGGCCTGAGGGAAAGAAAAAAACACCTACAATTTTTTTTCATTTCAGTGTATGTATATTTATATGAAGAATGCATTTTGACATGAATATAGTTAAGAGAATTGGCACTTTTTGAAGTTTATAATAATTTCCTGAATAGTGCTTTTAAAGGAAGATTACATTGTAAAAATGTGGAAGAAACTAAGCTTAAATTAAGCCTCAAATTCAAGAATTAGCATCCATTTAAATCATACTGTGAATTTGATTATATTTTGCAGTTTTACATAGTATCTGTAGAGGGCAGTATTTTACCATTAAACAGATAAGGAAAGGCAGAAACATGTAGAATATAACTGCTGTATGTTTATATTTTTAGGTATTCCTGTAAATTACCAAGATGTGGCATCTATTGATCCAGAATATGCCAAGAATTTGCAGTGGATTTTAGATAATGATATTAGTGATCTGGGTCTAGAACTGACTTTTTCTGTTGAGACTGATGTGTTTGGAGCAATGGAAGAGGTACCTTTGAAACCTGGGGGTGGAAGTATTCTGGTGACACAAAATAACAAAGTAAGTATTTGAATTTTTACCTTAGCCACTGTTTGTAACTTGGTCCTGATATTCTAAAGTCTCCTGGCTAATTATTGTAAAGTCTCCTGGTATTAGCTAAAAATTTTTTTACTGTTAGAATTAATAACATTTTATAGAAGAAAAATATTTTAATTAACCAAAGTTATGGTTAAATAAGACTAAAACCTTTTTCCTTTCCTTTTTCCTTTCCTGTAGTTGAGTTATAATTCTAAGATAGCTTTAGAATCACCTACCTACAAAAATAATGTTTATCAAACCATTTTTTAGACTAGGAATTTAGTAAAATATCATTTTTTTTTATTTTATTTTATTTTTTTTTATTTAAAAACCAAAAGACTTGGCCATGTTTTAGCTAAACTCTGAGCCTCAGTTTTCCATTCTGTAAAATCGGGATAATACTACCTCCCATAGAGAATTGTTACTAACATTTTGTAAACCTAAAAGCACATTACAAAAGTTAGTTGTTATTGGATAGTTTTCTATAAAAAATAGGCTTAAAAGTTTCAGATATACACAGGAAATTGGAGACTTATATTATGCTATATAATTTTCCTTTTTGAAACTTAGATACTGTTCATATAAAAAACATGAAGTTTAATTTTGGAAAATAAAATCAGGAGCTGAGTTTTCAATATTTATACTTAAATTTTTATATTTACCCTCTCATTTTACACATGAGGATACTGAAGCTTAAAGCTGGGGCTAAAACCCAGGTCTCCTGTCTCCTAGTTTCAAGTCTAATATTCTTCATACTATTTGCAAAATTAATCATGTTAAGGAGGAACTTCTTGACTTTTAATATAATGAGTCATATGAAGCTCTAGAAACTTAAAATAGTAAAGTGCTTAAATTAGTTTTTAAAATCTATATGAACTTGCTAGTGAATGAAAATTTTTTTTAATCCTTCTAATTATTAGATTGTCCACCTTGCAGTGAATTTGTTCCTTTATTTTACAATGGAGACATACTCTCAATTACGGGAGATGAAGTCATAGAATCTTTATTATAATCAAGTGATTGCTTTTCATGAGAAAACCTCAAACATGACTCCTACCTGTGAATATTGTATCTGATGATGAGTGTATTTGTCTCTCCTCTCAGATATATTTTATATGACAAAGTAGAAAGATCCACTAACAATTGCATGATAGTTAGCTGTATTTATAACTTGTTTCTCCTAACAGCTTCCCTCCCACTATGACTGATTTTTGTTTAGATTCATATTTTATTAATTCTTTTACATTTGTGTTTTTTGTGGAACTCTAGAAAGAAGGAAGATATTCAAAAAATAATAGCAAATGAGAATAAACTCACACTGAAGGTATACCCTTTATCTTTTTTTTTTTTTTAATACATTTTATTGATTTTTTACAGAGAGGAAGGGAGAGGGATAGAGAGCCAGAAACATCGATGAGAGAGAAACATCGATCAGCTGCCTCCTGCACGCCCCCCACTGGGGATGTGCCGGCAACCAAGGCACATGCCCCTGACCGGAATCGAACCCGGGACCCCTCAGTCCGCAGGCTGACGCTCTATCCACTGAGCCAAACCGGTTCTGGCGGTATGCCCTTTATCTTGATTCTACTCTGAGGCTGGAATACTATTATAATATTAAAGAGCTTGAAACTTTTGTTTCTGAGTTTAGTACATTTTTACTTAACTATATTGGTTGATTACAGGCTAAACTTTTTCAATAATTAGTTTGGTAATAGAGCTAAAAGCAGGATCTCAATCATTAATATGTAAATTCTCAGCTTTCAATTTTGGGATATAAACATTTTTCACAATAAATTGAGCCTCTGATACTACCTACAATAAGAGTCAAGTATAATTTTATATCTAATTGCTGATACTTAAACACTTAATGCTTATTCAATAAACAACCTGATTAATTTTTAAATATTAAAAATCTTTAGAAACATACCTATAGCTTAAATTGACCACTCACTTTAAAATTGTTAAAGTATTCAATTTACAAATAAAATTTTCAAAGCATGTTTTTTACAGGTATTATTCTTTAACATACATTTCTGTCATGAACCTTTGTGTCACTTTAGGGTCAGCCTTTTATCTACTTACCTTTATAGGTAAAAAGTTATAATTGTCATGTTCATCTTCAAAATTTATAATCATATTGAAGCTAAATGACTTGTCAAGCTTGTTAGTAAGAGAAAGTCTATGTAAGCTGATCTCCACATGGGGGAGTCATTTATTCCTAAGTTTTATTGAAAGGCTTTGGTAACTATAGAGTAAAACCAAACAGATGAAAATACCCTTTTTTGAAAAGCAGTAAATTAAAAAATACAATTAATGTAAGGCAAAAGAATATATCCCAGTTCCACATTGGAACTATAATGCTCTTTGAAATTTATTTTGTATCTGTTTTGTTTTAAATTCTAGAGGGTAAAAACAAAGAACCTTGTTTTCCCGTTTGAAAATGGCTGAATATTTACATTTAAATAGTATTTTTATTTTAGTTTTCTTTTACTTTTTTTAACTTTTACTTTTAAATTCTTGATGAAAAGCTGAAATTGTAGAACCATGAAATCTGGAATTAAAAGTGACATTTTTGGCCCAAACCTTAAGTTTTAGCTGTTAGAACTGAATATGACCAGTAAGGGTCAAGTATAATTTTATATCTAATTGATGACGCTTAATACTTATTCAATAAACAGCCTGATTAATTTTTAAATATTAAAAATCTTTACAAACATACCTGTAGCTTAAATTGATCTAGCTGTTAGAACTGAAGAGTAAGCTACTTGGGTTTTAAATGTTAAGAACACTTTTACAATACTAATCCTCAAGTTCATTCTGGCTAGAAGGGGAAAACATGGGGGTGGGATGGGACAGGAATGGAGGAGGTGCCATGGGAGTTGGATTACAGAGGAGAACCATTAAGTGGTCAGAATGGGAGTAAGGAAGGGGAGAAGGAAGTGTTCTAGGCTTAAAAGAAGGCACAGAGTTGACCTAGCATGTGTTTGGGGAACCACAGATAGGTGAGAGTTGTACATCTTAGCTTAGATTGCAAAGTAAGTGAGTGGAAAAAGATTAGCTGAGGGAGGTAGAAAGGGCCAAATTCTGAAAGACTTTAATTCACAATCAGAAATTTGAACATTTTTCTAAAGGCTGTGTGATGATTGAAGATGCTATAGTGGGGAGTCACATGATCGAATAAACTCAGCTTGGCGTTTGAGGAATGGATTGAAATGGGCTAGTACAGATCAGCTGGTAGGTTGTTGTGGCAGTGGTCTGTGGAGCATGCATGGGGGATTTTATGCTAGTGCCATTGAAGATGGGGAAAAAGATAGCTTTCAAAGATATAGAATTTATGAAACTTAGTAATTGTTTGGGAAGGTGAGAAGAGAACAACTCAAAGACGACTACTGCTTTTGTGGATTGGCCCCCAGAATGACTGTTGTTGTTGCTGTCCTCCTCTTCATCAATCTCATTACCATCAGTGTTGCTTTCTAGTGATAATAGGTACTGCTTATTGAGTACTTGGTATATATTTCATATATTTAAGATGTGTTCTTAGTGCATTTGCACTAGAGGTCCAGTGCATGAAAATTCGTGCACTCTGGGGGGTCCCTCAGCCCTGCCTGTGCCCTCTCGCAGTCTGGTCCTTAGGGCAGTGGTTCTCAACCTTCCTAATGCTACAACGCTTTAATACAGTTCCTCATGTTGTGGTGACCCCAACCATAAAATTATTTTTGTTGCTACTTCATAACTGTAATTTTGCTAGTTATGAATTGTAATGTAAATATCTGATATGCAGGATGTATTTTCATTGTTACAAATTGAACATAATTAAAGCATAGTGATTAATCACAAAAACAATATGTAATTATATATGGGTTTTCTGATGGTCTTAGGCGACCCCTGTGAAAGGGTCGTTCGACCCCCAAAGGGGTTACGACCCACAGGTTGGTGACCCACAGATTGAGAACTGCTGCCTTAGGGGATGTAGCAGGCCTAATACGCAGTCTGGCCTCCCTCTGCGGGAGGCGACCAGCGGGCCAATCGGGCTGGTGCTGGCTGGTGAGGGGCCAGTCCCGCCCCCCATCGCCCCACTGCCACTGGTCACCACCACCCCCTGATCGCTGTCCACTCCCTCTGCTCACTGGCACCCGCCTTTGCTGGCCTGGCACTGCCCACTTGCCAGCCCTGCCCCCTGCCGTCCGATTGTTCCACCGTTCAGTCAGTTTGCATATTAGGCTTTTATTATATAGGATAACAGCTTTTTGAGATAGTTATTTCTATTTATTGAATGTGGAAATATTAATATTAAAAGCATCTGACATTTATCAGGTGCTTATGTGTTAGGCACTGTTCAAAGTACTTCATGTGTATTTACTTAATAGTCCTGTGAGGTGTAGATATCCTTTTCTACAGGTCAGGAGACTGAAGGGTAAAGGGCTTAAGTAGCTTTCCTCCAGATAACGTGGTTAATAAGTGTTGGAGCTAGGATTTGAACCCAGGCAGTCTATAAATTTCAAGCCTGAGCTTGTAACTATGACATTATTGTTAATGTAAGAAACATTCAAACTTGTGAAGAATTTTTGTGAGTTTATTTGAGCCAAACTGTTGACGCCAGGAAGCAGAATCTCAGCAGATTGAGATAATGCTCTGGAGAATGGCAGTTTTGCACCTTGTTTTATACATTACAGTCAAAAGAGGTGATGTAAGTGGGTTACGTGAAATCTATTGGTGATAGATTAGGGAGGTGGGAGTAAGCAAAGCAGAAAGGGGTGGACCTCTGAGATTGGATAAAATGTAAAATGATAGACACATACTTTTTTTATTTAGGTGGGTGCAGGATAGTTAACACTTGACAACTCAATAACAATGAGGGGACTTGTAGTCTCCAGAGCGGTGTCTGTACTTTGAGGGGTTCGGAAAAAGGAAAATTACTTTGACATTCCAATGATGTTATCATGGATGCAAAAAGACAATAGACAGGCTCAGTTAAGGTAAAG